ACAATCCTGTCTCGGAGCTCTACGGACAATTTGTTCGACCTCATGGCTTGGTTGTTGCTCTGACATGCACTGTCAACTGTGGGACCTTATATAGACAGGTGTGTGCCTTTCCAAATCATGTCCAATCAATTTAATTTAACACAGGTGGACTCCAATCAAGTTGTAGAAACATCTCAAGGATGATCAATGGAAACAGGATGCACCTGAGCTCAATTTCGTGTGTCATAGCAAAGGGTCTGAATACTTATGTAAATAAGGTATTTCTGTTTTTAATAAATTTGCAAACATTTCTAAAACCCTGTTTTCGCTTTGTCATTATGGGGTACTGTGTGTAGATTGATAAGGAAAACATTTAATTTAATACATTTTAGAATAAGTCTGTAACTTAATAAAATGTGGAAAAATGGAAGGGGTCTGAATACTTTCCAAATGCACTGTATATACTGAGCAAAAATATAAACGCAACATGAAGTTTTGGTCCCATGTTTCATGAGCTAGAAGATAAAAGATTCCAGAAATGTTCCATACACACAAAATATTTATTTCTCTCAAATGTTTCTCTCAAAAATTTGTTTACATCCCTGTTGTTAGTATTTCTCCTTTGCCAAGATAATCCATCCACCTGACAGGTGTGGCATATCAATAAGCTGATTAAACAGAATGATCATTACACAGGTTCGCCTTGTGCTGGGAACAATATAAGGCCACTCTAAAATGTGCAGTTTTGTCACACAACATATTGCCACAGATGTCTTAAGTTTTGAGGGAGCATGCAATTGGCATGCTGACTGTAGGAATGTCCACCAGAGCTGTTGCCAGAGAACTGAATGTTAATTTCTCTACCATAAGCCGCCTCCAACGTCGTTTTAGAGAATTTGGCAGTACGTCCAATCGGCCTCACAACTGCAGACCACTTGTAACCACGCCAGCCTAGGACCTCCACATCCGTCTTCTTCACCTGCGGGATGGAATGAGACCAGCCACCCGGACAGCTGATGAAACTGAGGAGTATTTCTGTTGTGGGGAAAAAAAGCCCTTTTGTGGGGAAAAACTCATTCTGCTTGGCTGGGCCTGGCTCCCAAGTGGGTGGGCCTATGGCCACCCATGGCTGCTCCCCTGCCCAGTCATGTGAAATCCATAGATTAGGGCCTAATTTATTTATTTGAATTGACTGATTTCCTTATATGAACTGTAACTCAGTAAAATCGTTGAAATTGTTGCATGTTGCGTTTATATTTTTGTTCAATATATATATATATATATATATATATATATATATTTATACTGCGGACTCCGGCATTGCTCATCCTAATATTTATATATTTCTTAATTCCATTATTTTACTCTTAGATTTGTGTGTATTGATGTGAATTGTTAGATATTATTGCACTGTTGGAGCTAGGAACACAAGCATTTCGCTACACCCGCAATAACATCTGCTAAATATGTGTATGCGACCAATAAAATTTGATTTGATTACTCCACGTGCTTAATCTAGCCTAGGCTACTTTTGTTTTGAGCCGATTTCGCAGCCGTGTGCTTTGAACGGGGCAACTGACGCACGCCCGGGAGGCAGCCCGGTTACAAAACGAATGCATTCACTTTTCACCCAGAGGAAACTCCTTCACCGGGATATCCCGGGCCAGATAATCGAATCCCCTCAGTTAATTGTTAGCCCGCCCCTTGATCGCATCACGAGACCCCGCTTTTCACTTTCCCCACTCACAGAACCGAAGGCATCGCGGGAACAGAGGTCTATCAGTGTATGCAGATGCTTTCTGTCGATTGAATTCCGGTTTAGTCTACACAAGCATACGTTTATCACCCCCACATGAGGCTGCTGAGGGGAGGACCACTCATAAAAATGTCTGGAATGGAGTTCATAGAATGGTATCAAACACATGGAAACCATGTGTTTGATGAGTTTGATACCATTCCATACATTGATTAAAATAAGCCTCTCATAGGCCTACTGTAATAACTAGTAACATTTTTGCTCATGGGGATTCAGGTGGTAGAGCATGCGGATCTGTCTGTCAACTGAAAACAAATGGGAAAACACACTCAACAGGAACTGATAGAAAGTTACAGGTGGCCACAATCAAAGGCTAAAGTGCGCCCTCATGAGGTTATGCTCGTTGAATGCTCGTTCTACACATAAGTAGGCCAGTAGCTGCTTCAAGTTGGGGACTGCCACACACAGTGAGCTTTTCATGATTCGTTTTTCTACTGAGGTCATATCATTTGGTTTGCAGAAAATGAAACGCAAATGTTTTTGTAATGACATGTTATTTGAATAAAACACTTTTTAAATGAAAGATGACCTACAGCAGTGGTTCCCAACCTTTTTTGGTTGCTGTACCACCAACTGAATTTTGCTCTGCCTGGAGTATCCCTGAAGTACCCCCTCATGTGCATTTTACCATTAGGCCTATGGTCTCATGAGTCTTCTCAAGTATCACCAGGGTAGTACTAGTACCCCTGGTTGAGAACCACTAACCTACAGCATATTCAACAGATAATATTGTTATGAGAATACATGGTACATTGAGTGCACAATGTTAACGTTCTCTAAAATGGCTTTGGAAGCATTGTTTGCCCATGGGCATCAGTTGAACCAGACTCACTGCAGTAATTAATTAATCTCATATTAATTTACTGAATAGACAGTGTTTGTATTGACTTGCTGTGTGTTATGATTATGGAATTGAAAAATAAATAAAAAACAAATGGCCATATACACTTAGTATACCAAACATTAGGAACAGCCCCTCCCCCCTCCCCCCCCACAACAAAGTGCCTATTTAAAGCCCTCCATCTGTCACTCAGAAACGTATTATAGTGTCTCTGCCTGCCAGCTGAAAATCTTTGCCAGTGTGTGCATGTGTAGGCTACCTGCCCCTCCCCTCCGAAGCATAGGCTACTGTAGTGGTAGCCTACTGACGTTACAAGCGTGATCCAGAAATGAGGGAGAGAGATTTTTAATTAGAGACGTGGATTCACTTTTTGGGGATTTTCGGACAATTTGGGATGATGCTTACCTTGTTCAGACAAGTGTGTGCAACATCCTAAATTGTCATAAAATCAAAAAATGGTGGTGGAAAATTATGTTTTATGAAGACAGTACACATTATTCCTGTTTTCCTATTAAACCTAGTTTACATTTTAGTCATTTAGCAGACGCTCTTATCCAGAGCGACTTACAGTTAGTGAGTGCATACATTTTCATACTGGCCCCCCGTGGGAATCGAACCCACAACCCTGACGTTGCAAACGCCATGCTCTACCAACTGAGCTACACGGGAGAAAAGTATGCCTTTGCAGGATGCTTTATGTACAAGCTGGTCCACGGGAGTGTATTACCGGGAATGCAAATCAATCCTAGACGATAGTACAGGCTTCTGATGTTAACATGCAAGAAACCATTGTTGCATCAATGGTTGTAAAGATGGGGAGAGGTCTCTCCGTAATAAAGAGATGCTCTGCTTTTTTGACACCACACTCCACAAAGCAAGTCCTGCAGGCTCTAGTTTTATTTTATCTTGATTATTGTCCAGTCATATGGTCAAGTGCTGCAAAGAAAGACCTAGTTAAGCAGCAGCTGGCCCAGAACAGAGCGGCACTTCTTGCTCTTCATTGTAATCAGAGGGCTAATATTAATACTACACATGCCAGTCTCTCTTGGCTGAGAGTTGAGGAAAGACTGACTGCGTCACTTCTTGTTTTTATAAGAAACATTAATGTGTTGGAAATTCCTAATTGTTTGCATAGTCAACTTACACTTAAGTGATAATGCCCGAGAAGCCAGTGTTTGGAGGATATATTGGCACGGATGTTGTTAGGCCCAAGACGAAGTCTCCGTCCCAATATATCCTCCAAACACCAGCTTTGAGGGCATTATCACTTTTATACATATTTTCATTAAAAACGTTATTTTGATTAATTTATTCATACTATTTCTTCCTTCCACAAGATATAGTCCCGACACAAATCTAGGGTTGCTACCTAAACCGACTGCTCGTTTGTTCTATCGGATCGGTTGCCAAAGACCTTTTACCTTTTTTCAATTGACATTTTTTTGTATATATCCATAACAATGATGCCAGCTGATTCATGATTTCGACTGGCTGAGAAACGCTGCCTGCCTTTCTGTCTCATCCTGACTCCGGACATGTTCATTACTATGGGACAGCTGGAGATTGAATTTGAATATTGAAACAATGTTGCAAATGTCGAAGAGACAGACAGCAAGGTTTATACAAATCTCTGCTGTTGGAAACTAAATGTTAGTCTAAAAGAAATGTGAGATAATGTCTAGATGCTTTTTATAGTGGAGATCAAGCTTATAAATTGCCTGGCTGGGCTGATGAGACAGTGGATTGCGCAGTTAGATGGAACAGAGTAAATAGGCATTTTAATGTAATAGATTTAGCCGGTGGTAACTTGTGGAATAGACACTGGCTGGAATGCGGTTTTAACCAATCAGCATTCAGGATTAGACCCACCTGTTGTATAAACAGCACTGACATACACACTTACCCCACCAGACATGCCACCAGGGGTCTTTTCACAGTCCCCAGGTCCAGAACAAATTCAAGGTGATGTACAGTATTATACAGAGCCATGAATGAGTGCATGGAACTCCCTTCCATCTTATGTAGCGCAAGTGAACAGCACACCTGGTTTCAAAAAACAAATAAATCAACACCTCACATCACAACGCCTCTCCCCCATGTGACCTACTTGTTAAGTGTATGTGCTGACATGTGTGTACTGATATATGCACACACACACACACTACATGTTAATGTTTTTAAATGTATGTAAATTGTAAAGTCTTTTTTTTGTCTGTAATGTCTTTTTCGTTATGTGTCGGACCCCAGTAAGACTAGCTGTCGCCATTGGCGTCGGCTAATGGGGATCCTAATAAATCAAATTATGCTGATGGCAGAGTCAGGAATAACATAAGCAGCATGAGTCCATGGCCCCATCCTGCCTGGTGTCAACGGTACAGGCTGGTGGTGGTGGTGTAATGGTGTGGGGAATTGTTTTCCTGGCACACGTTTGGTAGTAGTTCACTTCAATCCAATCAAGACATAATTGCTCAACTTTTGGTTGTTTTTGGGAGAAGGAACAATTCATTAAATCAATGATCTAATCTATTGAGTTCTTGAGGAATCATAATCACAACTTTAAACAAAACCTCAGTCAGAAAAACCTGAGTAAGAAACATGTAATATGAAGAAGTGACAGCAGCACACAAAAATTACACCAGACCAGGGCAGGCTGAACATACTCATCTAATTTGTTTATCGATGGACTTTGCATTACAAGGACATTACTAAGTCTCTTCATGCAGTTCTGTATGATGGCCGCTAGGTGGCGTAAGTGCTCTACTTCTTTATGAAGAAGTCATTGCACATCACCGTGAGGCAGGACACCAGGGTGACATACTCCTTGAAGTCAACAGTGTTGTCTTTGTTAGAGTCCAGGTCCTTGAAGATTCTGTCCACTGCTGACTTGTCACTGGCTTTCTGCAAACAGAGAGAATGCAGAAGAAAGAAGGGGGAGGTTAATAATTTCTCTATCCGATGGGGTCCGTTTCAATATTTCGGGATGCCATTGCTGGAGTTAGCAAGCATTGTTTATTTGAGATGTATTCAGAAACGGACCCCATCTTTCCAGCTTTCCTATTCTGCCCAGCCCAATGAATCTCAGAAGAGAGAGCACTGATCCAGCCTCTAGTGCAGGGGTTTCAAACTCAATTGCTGGAGGGCCTCACCTAGTTGTCTAGGTCTTCACTGGACACAAATTGAAAGGAAATAACAAAAATCAGCAGACACACCCCACTGGGCAAAAACTGGTTGAGTCAACGTTGTGTCCATGTCATTTCAACCCCAAAATTAAATGTGATGATGTTGAATCAACGTGGAAAACTGATTGGATAAAAAAAAAGTTAGCAACATAAGGGAATTTCATATTTTTTTCACCCAACTTTGAACCTAAATCCAATGACATGGTACAATTTTTGTTGATTTCACGCTGAATTCACATTAGTTGACAACTCAACCAAATGTAAATCAAAACTAGACGTTGAACTGACGTCTGTGCCCAGTGGGACGGCCCTCCAGGAATTCAGCTTGACACACCTGCTGTAGTGCAACAAGAAATCTGATCCCAGATCATTAGGACTTGCTCAGTCTCACTCACCCCCAGCATCTCCCCTAGTTCAGCCTCGAGCAGCTCTTTCAGCTCGATCTTGCTGAGGGTGAACTTGTCCCCCTCCTTCCCAGAGTACTTGTGGAAGGAGGCGATGAGGAGAGACATGGCCTGCTGGATCCCAGACATGGTGACTATAGTTGAAGGGGAAACAGAGAGGGACACATAACCTATTAGAAGCACTATATAAAAAAGTTTCTGGACATTATTGTTCTAGCTCACTATAGGTAAATATATTTTTTGTGCATTCTTTCACTCTCAAAGCATGAAAACTCAATTCGGTGGGGCATTAAACCATTTAAATGAATTCACTGAGAGCGTATGGTTGTTGCTTTGCATCATGGCTTCTGTCTCTTGTGTTTTTCTCTGTATTTTCCATGGAGAGGGAGAAAAATAAACCCTGGTTTCTGCAGAGCCCATGTTAGCACCATATTCCCTACATATCCCTGGTCAAAACAAAGTAGTGCACTACATAGGGAATAGGGTGCCATTTGGGAGGCAACCATGGTCTCTACCACAGGTTCTATGGTGAAAGACACAGGCACTGTTACGGCAACGCCCTGCTCTCCTGGTAATTCACATGACTCCAGATGAGGAAACAGGTAAAGGTCTGGGCAAATCCCATCTGTGGATTACTCTCCTACTTAATAACACTCGACCATATTTTTCCATATGCTGTGTGTTTACCCTAAGAGAGTCTTCTTTAATCTTCTTGTGTGTGTGTGTGCCCCTGCTATTTAGGGTGTGGCTGAGGGAGGAAAGGGTAGAGCCAAGGTAACAATAGCCAGATGAAACAGAGAAAAAATGAAGGAATTAAAGAATGAATGAAGGGAGAGTAAGAAAAAGGGAATGAGAACAGGAGAACCAAATATTGTCGCTTTCCGGAGATGATACATACTGAGTAGTGTGCACAGTGATATGTTAAACCCAACCTGTCCCGTGCAATGTAAAACACAATACTACAGAATGACTGGTTTGCAAGCCTCAGTTATGCATTGTAATAAGACAACCACAATAGGAACCAAAGAAGGACATTTCGTTTTAAAGTGAGCGAATATCAAGAGAAAAATGAAAGTGCCCAAATCAAAACATACTAAACGAGGATTACATTTAAAAACTCTGCAGTAACATTGAAGTTTAAACATTAGTTAAGAAAACTAAGATTACATTTTCTACTCACCGAGATGTAGGAAGAATGACAAAGCAAAGTAGAAAGTTAGTGTACGGAGAGAGTGAGAGACTGATGGAGAGAGGGATGTAATGAGTGTTTCATACATCACCACACCCTCCACCCCTCCCTCTATCTTGCTCCTTAAATTCTCTTCCCCCTCTCTCTTTCTCTCTCTGGTACATTAACTATTTTACTCTTCTCTTCATTCATTCATTTATCGTTCATTTATCATGTTACCTGATAGTGTTAACAGTCTGAATATTTACATCACATTGCATAATAGTGGATGTTTAGCTTGGTGCACCTGACATGGTCTAAATCCTTGCATTATATCCAACCATTAATTCCCAAGACTTTAGATGCAATACAATACATTCACTGCCGTTCTCACAATATAGGTAAAACAACGCATTTAGATAAAGTTTACTTTGAGCTTATGACCAGCATCCTATGGTTGTATTGTATGTTGACCAGAGAGTGGATTTGCTTAAGAATTATTTTGATTGCAAAGTATTAAAGCCCATAATTTATTATTGGCTGCCAAACAGGCCTACTTTTGTAACTTGTTCGTAATGCAAATGGGTGACGCTAACATTGAATCTGCCAACTAGTATGTCTTATTGATACTGCGTTATTGACAACACGTTCTTGATACTGTGCACTGGTGGTTTAAAGTTCACATACAGTGTAGTGTCCTACAGACTTGAATTACATTGTACTTATGGATAAGGACAGTCATACTGTAGATACAGTATACTGATGTACATATAATATGAGTTCCATTCGAACAGTAAAGATAGCACATTGCAAAGTTGACTATATGAGAACACATTCAACTTATTTAAGTGTGGTAAGGCAGCAGATCTATAATTAAATTTCACTCAGGATTGCGTCCCAAACGGCACCATATTCCCTACATAGTGCAATACTTTTGATGGGCCCTGGTCAAAAGCACTATAAAGGGAATAAGGTGCCATTTGGGATGCAGGTTATGACTGGATATGTGTTTAACAGAGGGAAATGAACACAGCTTCACAGCTCTGCTTGTCTGTGTGAATCATGCAGTATCATTTATATAATTACAACATGTCCCAAAAGCCTGCGGTTTCCTTGGTCACAATTAACTTCAGTCTCCAGTTAGATTCTTAGACGCATTTAAAGGAATTGCTTCACAACTTCACCAAACATCTTTCAACTGGGAGGCATGGGCTGTATTCACTAGAGGATAAATAGTTTACAATATGTATAAATGACGTAATTGATTGTGATTTGCATCAAATGTAATGGGATAAACATAATCTCTGTAAAGCCTGGACTTGTTTAGTGCCACTGAGGTAAACTGTAATGTACTGTACCTTGAGTTACAGTACTATAATACTACTGTATTTACTGAGAAGAAAACACTTTTACTCGCCAACACATATTACATCATTTCTGTATTGTAGCTCTTCACATTAATCTCTGGTTTTACTTGCACTAAAATATATGACATTATATGACACACACACACACACACACACACACACACACACACACACACACACACACACACACACACACACACACACACACAAAACAGGCCTAGGCAGAGTCTCTGTCCGGTGCTCTTTCTTTGTTGCTTTGAGAAATTATCATCAACTTCATCTTGTGATACTCTTCTAAAGCTTGCAAGAAGAAGAATAGAAACCCTGACCCACACACTGTTGCAAGATTCCAACAGTTTGTTGAGTTCAACATTTTGAGTCAGAGTAATTCGTCAGGCTTGGTTCTGTTACTGTAAAGCTTGAATTGGAGACAGAGAAAGATGTGCTTTATGTACCACTCCCATAACTCCCTGCATGCTTTTAAAAATGTGCATCTAGATTACTGTGTGGGGCTGGTTCTCCTTCAAATCACTCATGTGTGTATGTGTGTGTGTGTGTGTGTGTGTGTGTGTGTGTGTGTGTGTGTGTGTGTGTGTGACTCAGTGAGGAAGCTGAATGTGTGTGTGTATACTAGTTCCAGTCAAGTTCTGCAAACAGAGTTCCTCCTGACTCACTGGATAAACCTGGGAGTGTTATGGTAGTGAGTGGGTCCACTCTTCCTCCACTGTGATTTAATTCCACATTTCTGAGGTTGACATGACCATGAGCAGATGAGTCAGACAGGCGCCTGACTGAACATAATTATAAACATCTGAGCGTCAGGCCCATCTCCACCATTGCAACCAATGCAGTCTTGGTGGTCATCGTGTGTGTGTGTGTGTGTGTGTGTGTGTGTGTGTGTGTGTGTGTGTGTGTGTGTGTGTGTGTGTGTGTATGTATGTGTGGGTGTGTGCATAAATGTGTTTGTGTGCATGGATGTGTGCATGCGTGTGGTCAATGGTTTAATCAAGTATGCATGCATTATGTGCACTTTCTTGGATTTCTGCATTTGTCTGTACGTGTATACATTGTATATATTTCTCCTTGGAATTCGTCCTTAATTCAACAAGTCTTCAAGATAGCATGAGCCTCCAACACAATAGGATCCAATTTAATGGTCAAAATGTCACCTATGTTTGGTATCTATAAGAATACCATTGAATATCCCCTTGACCTTAGGATGTCGCAATATGTACTCGTATGTTATATCTCATAATTTACATTTTAGTCATTTAGCAGACACTCTTATCCAGAGCGACTTACAGTTAGTGAGTGCATACATTATTTATTTTTATTTTTTATTTTTCATACTGGCCCCCGTGGGAATTGAACCTACAACCCTGGCGTTGCAAACGCCATGCTCTACCAACTGAGTGTCACACCCTGGCTCTGGGACTCATTATGTTGAGCCAGGGTGTGTTCATTTCTATGTGTGTATTTCTATGTTGGTGTTCATTCTAGTTTGTTGTATTCTATGTTTGCCTGAGTGACTCCCAATCAGAGGCAACGAGTGTCAGCTGTTGGCTGGTTGTCTCTGATTGGGAGCCATATTTAAACTGTATGTTTTCCCTTTGTGGTTGTGGGTTTTTGTTCCGTGTTCGGTCATTGATACCGTGGACGTCACGAGTCGTGTTTTGTTTTGTATTTTGACGCTTTAACTAATTAAAGTCATGTTTGTTCATCACGCTGCGCCTTGGTCTACTCCTTACCTCGACCTTGACAGAAAAACCCACCATGCAACGACCAAGCAGCGTGTCCAGGGGCAGCCCTTGGGGTGGACATGGGAGGAAGCGCCGGGAAAGGCCCTGGCGAAAGAGGAGCAGCGTGTCCAGGAGCAGGCAGCCTGGACATGGGAGGAGATATTGGACGGTAAAGGGTCCTGGACTTGGGGGGAAATCCTGGCCGGGATGGATCGCCGGCCATGGAGTGAGACAGTGGAGAGGCGACGGAGAGAGGAGCAACGGCGTGATCAGGGTCGTCGTCGGACGGTCGTGAGGCAACCCCAGAAATTTTTTAGGGGGGGGGCACACGGCATGGACGACGGGGCTGACGGAGGAGAAAAGGGGGCGGATCCAGAAGGCCACCAGGCCAGGGGTTCACCGCCCTGTACGTCCTGTGCGGATGCCTCACACAGAGTGTGTGAGGGTAGGCATTCAGCCAGGACGGGTGGTGGCCGCTCTTCACTCCAGGCCTCCTATCCGTCTCCACAGCCCGGTTCGGCCTGTCCCTGCTCCACGCACCAAGCCTACGGTGTGCGTCGCCAGCCCAGCCCGGCCTGTCCCTGCTCCACGCACCAAGCCTACGGTGTGCGTCGCCAGCCCAGCCCGGCCTGTCCCTGCTCCACGCACCAAGCCTACGGTGTGCGTCGCCAGCCCAGCCCGGCCTGTCCCTGCTCCACGCACCAAGCCTACGGTGTGCGTCGCCAGCCCAGTCCGGCCTGTCCCTGCTCCACGCACCAAGCCTACGGTGTGCGTCGACAGCCCAGCCCGGCCTGTTCCTGCTCCACGCACCAAGCCTACGGTGTGCGTCGCCAGCCCAGTCCGGCCTGTCCCTGCTCCACGCACCAAGCCTACGGTGTGCGTCGC